TCTAGCTTTAAAAGAATGTTTCTATTTTTTCCGAAATGCTGTTACTTTTTCCTACGTTGTCAGTTAATACATTGCTTTGATGACAACTGGAGCATCGAAAAGTGTTTCTCATACTCTTCTCTTAGCTCTGACACTGACGGTTACGCTTCTTAATAATTTTGCAATACTTGATTCATTGTTTTAATTTCAGCTTCAATTCAAAGTTTTAAATTTTACGACTATGAAAGAGCATTGCTCTGCGATAATTTTTCCATCGGTTTTATTTTCCCTATTCCTTTTTCATTTTGAACAATTTTTGGGATTTTCAAGTGTAACTTGATGAATGATGACTTTTAACGAGAGAATATAAGCTGGGGTCTCAATGCATATTCTCATGCTTTTGACAAAGCCCGAAAGCATAAAGTTTAGAATAAAAGTTCTAAATTAAAGTTTTTCACAATTTTTTTTTTCTGATTAGTCAATGATTTGCCTGATCATACCAGCTTGTTTTTCAAACTCCTTTTTCCACTACTACGTCTGCGGTGATACGGCCATTTACTAGTTACTGCCTCAGTGTAAGTAAGGCACTGCAAGGTGATCACAACACCTAACACCATCAGAATCGTGATCAATCTGCTGAACATGGCTACTACTTTATCCTACTCAATGAACCAAATGATCGAGTCTATTTTATTGGCTTGATACAGGTGCACAGACAATGCATCAGTTTCAAAGTTCCATCGAATCTTTAACTAATAGAGGTGTGGTTAAATATTTGTAATTCAAGCTGTAAAGACCTCATCCATAATTTTTTCCATTTCGTGCTGTCTTTCGCTGTCAAGAGCGCGAGAAAAACAAATTGCATAGAATATCGTAGAAAAATGTTTCATAACTTATCCAAGATACGTTACTAGCTTTAGTTTCCTAGGGGCGTCAACGTGAAAGAACCAAACTTTAAAAAAGATCAAAACAACACAAAACGAAACAAAAGAGAACTTATGTTATGCATGAAGTTATTTTGGCTCAACGAGGCCTTTAAAATATGAAGCAACGGAGAGGGATATACTGCAAAACACGAAATAATTTCCTGACCAAGTTTGTCTCGGTTGTCTTTCTTCGCGAACGCCTAAATAGGCGGAATATAAGCAATTTAAGCCTAGTTAACTGTTCTTTTACATAACAACCAAGAATGTCAAAGTTAAAAAGCTGGCGGTAATTATTATCGGACATCAGGAAGGAAACCATCCAAATGTACCGAAAATTCATTTGTATTTGAATGGTACATGCAGATGATGTTTAAGGAGATTTAACGGGCTATTATCTGTGTCGGTACTATAGTACCCCAAATTTACTTTTGGCACATTTCCAAAACTGTCATGGGAAATTAGCTTCAAAAAAGCTCAGGCGGAAAAGTAGAGAAGTCAAGGAGCTTTCAAATTAGTAAATCTACAGTCGCGTCTTACTTGTATCTTGATAACGGAGAAAAGCTGGACTGAGGGTCTCAAAGGGGTTAACTTTTAGCCGTAAAACGGCCAAAAATTTAGCCTGTTCAATTGAATAGGCATAAAATTTGACAAATTTTAACCGTTATTCTTAAAAAAAGTTAACCGAAAGAATATTTGTGTTAGCCAGAACGGAAAGAAATTAACCAGATATATATCTAAATTTTTTTGTATGAGTTTGGCCAAAAAGAGAATTAGGATAAAGATTGGTGGGTTGAACAAAGAGGCAAACGTGACAGCCATCTCTCTGCTCTATCTACGAACCGACATAGTTCGTTCCACTTGTCTCAAACAACCCTACGCAATAATCATGTTTTTTCAGGAGCCGGTAATTAAACAGATTATGCTTCCGAAAGATTCTGAAAATCTTTGGTTCCTAAACTCGGGATCGTATCCACGAGGGCTTACCAAGTTTCGAGTTAATGAAGTTGTAATTGATCGTTTATGAAAATGTGGAGAAACCTAAATTAATAAATTTCGCTATTATCATGATCTGGAAAAGTTGTAAAATTCAGAAAACAGACTTTGTCTATTGCGCCATGATGGAATAAAGAATCAGAACTGATCAAAGCGAAAGGGATCATTATCAAAATAAAAAAACTAGCGCGGCCTCGCTGTAGCTCGCCGTTTGGCGTTTGGAGATGATTCTCCTCCCACCTAATTGCAATCTTGAGAGCCTAATTGTTTTAAACTACATTTTGTTCAAATTGGATTATTAGAGTTTTGATTAAAATTACGAAAAGAGCCATAAACTGTTTTGTCGTCAACATAGCGACGTCTGACCTTATTTTTTCCAACTTTTGTTTTGCCGCGGCCTCAGATACATACGAATGTACCTAAGCAACTCGCTTGACAATGGACCCTTTGGTCGAGCACCTTATAGACAATTGTCCTTCTTGTTAGACACCTCTATCACTCTGGCTGACATTGAATCGATTCAGAGCTGTATTGTCTCCTCTTCGTTCCCCAACTGTTGGCAGAAAGCTTTGCCTGTATTTTATAATTTCGTCGCATATTGTTGCCATGGCCATCTATTCCCCACATTTCCTTCCCAGCGTGTATACAGTTGTATGCAAAGATAGTGCAAACGATTATCGTCGAACATCGGGCTTTGAATATTGCAGATCTACCGACACGTTGGATCCATAACTTGGCAAGCTTACTTGCAACATATATATTATTCCGGAAATTCGTCGTTCTGGCGAAATATCATGATTGCTCCAACGACATAACCTAGTGCTAACGGCATATAATCAACTGAATATATAGCTCCAGCGATATATCGCTCTAGCGACATATCGCAAAAGCGATTTATCGTTTTACGAGATTTGCCTTTCTCATATAACCGTTTCGGGGGAAATAATAATAAAAGAATACAAATTACCTCCCCACTTTGTCAAACGGTAATAAACAACATTTTTCTGTGGTATTTCTGCCCTTGCAAAAGATAATCACATTAAAGGGTGTACAATAATTTGTTTCAATACATAATGAGTTGGAGTTCGTCAAAACATTTGAGAGCGAGAAAGGACAAAGGGAAATATCAGGAAGAAACATCTCAATGTTCGATGAGTCAATTGTTTTAAACTAATGAATGTACCAGAGCATTTTACTTTAATCGATTCCTACGCCTTCTGGTTAACGGACAAGTACGAGTTGCGAAAATAACAGTAACAAAGTAGTTTAGTTTTGGCGCTTTTCATTGTCATTTTTTCTTGAATACTGGTAGAATTTTTTATGCCAACTTTACACGTAATCCACTTTCGGTTGATTTCTTAATGACTCCGATACAAAAAAGTTTTGACCACCTCAGCACTGGAAAGTACTGAAAGTACTAAAGGACACCTTTCATGTGCACGTAGGCGGGAGGAGAATCATCGCCAAACGGCGAGCTACAGCGTGGCCGAGAAAGTTTTTTTTTATTTTGATGAGTTTCGCTTGGATGAGTTTTGATTCTTTATTCCATCATGGCGCAATGGTTTGTTTTCTGAATTTTACAACTTTTCCATGATCATGATAATAGCGAAATTTATTAATTTAGGTTTCTCCACATTTTCATAAACGATCAAGATTACAACTTCATTGAATTAACTCGAAACTTGAAAAGCCCTCGTGGATACGATCCCGAGTTTAGGAACCAAAGATTTTCAGAATATTTCGGAAGCATAATCTGTTTAATTACCGGCTCCTGAAAAAACATGATTATTGCGTAGTGTTGGTTGAGACAAGTGGAACGAACTATGTCGGTTCGTAGATAGAGCAGAGAGATGGCTGTCACGTTTGCCTCTTTGTTCAACCCACCAATCTTTATCCTAATTCTCTTTTTGGCCAAACGCATGCCAAAAATTTTAGTTATATTTCTGTTGTTCGTTAAATTGGAAATCGCGACCCTTTTTTTCTTTATTAGTTATTCGGTTGAATTGATCTTTTCGCGTTGGTCTGAAAAAGCATATGTCGCCATTGTAATCAAAGTCGAAATTCCGTAGTTATTTGGTGCACCTGCACCGGCGTATAGAAAACAGGTTTTTTGCGGGTAATGGTTAATTTCTTTCCGTTCTGGCTAACACAAACTTTCTTACAGTTAACTTTTTTTTTACGAATAACGGTTAAAATTTGTCAAATTCTAAGCCTATTCAGTTGTAACGGCTAAGTTTTTGGCCGTTTTACGGCTAAAGGTTAACCCCTTTAAAACCCTCAGTCCAGCTGTTCTCCGTTATCAAAATACATGTAAGACGCTACAGTAGATATTCTCATTTAAAAGCTCCTTGACTTTTCTACTTTTCCGCCTGAGCTTTTTTGAACCTAATTTTCCATGACAATTTCGGAAATGTGCCAAAAGTCAATTTGGGGAACTATAGTTCCGACACAGATAATAGCCCGTTAAATCTCCTTAAATATCATCTGTATGTAGCATTCAAATACAAATGAATTTTCGGTACATTTGGATGGTTTCCTTCCTGATGTCCGATAACAATTACCGCCAGCTTTTTAACTTTGACATTCTTGGTTGTTATGTAAAAGAACAGTTAACTAGGCTTAAATTGCTTACATTCCGCTTACTTCTGCGTTCGCAAAAAAAAGATAAACAAGACAAACTTGGTCAGGAAATTATTTCGTGTTTTGCAGCATATCCCTCTCCGTTGCTTTATATTTTAAAGGCCTCGTTGAGCCAAAATAACTTCATGCATAACATAATTTAGGCGTTTTCTTTCGTTTCGTTTTGTTTTGTTTTGATCTTTTTTAAATTTTAGTTCTTTCACGTTGACGCCCCTCGAAAACTAAAGCTAGTAACGTATCTTGGATAACTTATGAAACATTTTTCTACGATATCCTATGCAATTTGTTTTTCTCGCGTTCTTGACAGGGAACGACAGCAAGAAATGGCAAAAATTATGGATGAGATCTTTACAGCTTGAAATACAAATATTTAACCACACCTCCATTAGTTAAAGATCCGATGGAACTTTGAAACAGATGCATTGTCTGTGCACCTGTATCAAGCCAATAAAATGGACATGATCCTCTGGTTCATTGAGTTGGATAAAGTAGCAGCCATGTTCAGCAGACTGATCACGATTCTGTTGGTGTTAGGTGCTGTGATCACCTTGCAGTGCCTTACTTACACTGAGGCAGTAACTAGTAAATGGCCGTATCACCGCAGACGTAGAAATGGAAAAACGAGTTTCAAAAACAGGCTGGTATGATCAGGCAAATCATTAACTAATCAGAAAAAAATGTGAAAAACTTCAATTTAGAACTTTTATTGTAAACTTTATGCTTTCGGGCTTTGTCAAAAGCATGAGAATATGCATTGAGACCCCAGCTCATATTCTCTCGTCAAAAATCATCACTCATCATGTTGAACTTGAAAAACCGAAAAATGTTCAAAATGAAAAGGGAATAGAGAAAACAAAACTTATGAAAAAAATGATAGTAGAGCAATGCATCTTTCAAATGAGATAGAATAAATATATGAAGTTCATATATTTTGAACTGCGGTATTGGATACGTATGATGCACGATCCTCGCAGTAGATAGCGCTATTTATGCAATAGCGAAATTCAGACCTGAAAAAAATCAGGCTTGTACGGGACTCGAACCACTGACCTCTGCGATACTAGTGCAGCGCTCTACCAATTGAGCTAACAAGCCAAATGTGAGCAGGCCGTTAAGTTGGTTCGTAATAAACCTAGTATCGCAGAGGTCAGTTGTTCGAGTCCCGTACAGGCCTGATTTTTTTCAGGTCTGATTTTCGCTCTTGCATAAATAGCGCTATCTACTGCGAGGATCGTTCATCACACGTATCTAATACCGCAGTTCAAAATATATGAACGTCATATATTTATTCTATCTCATTTATCACTTTCACGGGTTTATTACAAACCAACTTAACGGCTTGCTCCCAGTTGGCTCGTTAGCTCAATTGGTAGAGCGCTGCACTAGTATCGCAGGGGTCAGTGGTTCGAGTCCCGTACAGGACTGATTTTTTTCAGATCTGAATTTCGCTATTGCATAAATAGCGCTATCTACTGCGAGGATCGTGCATCATACGTATCTAATACCGCAGTTCAAAATATATGAACTTCATATATTTATTCTATCTCATTTATCACTTTCACGGGTTTATTACAAACCAACTTAACGGCTTGCTCCCAGTTGGCTCGTTAGCTCAATTGGTAGAGCGCTGCACTAGTATCGCAGAGGTCAGTGGTTCGAGTCCCGTACAGGCCTGATTTTTTTCAGGTCTGATTTTCGCTATTGCATAAATAGCGCTATCTACTGCGAGGATCGTGCATCATACGTATCTAATACCGCAGTTCAAAATATATGAACTTCATATATTTATTCTATCTCATTTATCACTTTCACGGGTTTATTACGAACCAACTTAACGGCCTGCTC